GCCGACCTGACGCACGCTCTCGCAGCAGACGTTGATCTTTTTCTCCTGAAACATGGCTCTGATTAAAAGTTGTTAAATCCACCCACCCTTCCAACAGGGCTACATCTTCATACTGCACACAACTATTGTATCTTCTGGCAAAAAGCTGCAAGCAGAAATGGTGCAGGGCAGCTGGTGGCAAAAAGAAAGCTGCTGTAGTCATTCGTATTCCATGAGGAAAACCAGAGGGCAACCAATGCACCGCCGCAAAGAGGAAACTGAAGAGAGAGCTGTGGTAGAGAGGTCAGATCCAGAGAAAGGAATTTTTTTTCTTCCCTCCCCTCGCCTTTTTCTGCAGGTATGGGCAGGTAGGAGAAAATGCGTCAGCCAAGCTGCTCTCTATAGTGAGCGTTACAGGACTCACCGTCAAGGAGAAACTGGGTGGAGAGAGGGAGTGTGGGACAGAGCCAAAGAGAGCGAGACAGAGAGCAAGAGCGAGGCAAAGAGAGAGAATGGGAGGTCCGTGATTCAGAACAGAGGGGGGAGAGGGGAGGGTGATATATGTTCTGCGGTGCTCTGTCGCTCCAGCTTGATTCAGCTGCAGGAAACATAAGTGGAGTGACACAGCCAGGACAGCAAGCATGCAGACAACATGTAGAAGGAAAGAAAAAATAGAGACGAGGTTGCGTATGTGAGCAGAGAGAGAAAGCTGCAGAGAAAGTGAGGTTTGTGATACAATCAGATAGGAATGAGGACAAGTGTATGTATTACATTAAGAGAAAGCTATCAGTAGATAAATTGGACGGGCACAAAAGAGACAAGACAAAAGACAGGTGTGGCTCCAGGCAAGTGGGATTGCACTGTATGCACATCAACCAGTTTGTCTGCGCAACGTGGCCAAAACCACCAATCACAACAGGCGACTCAGTGTTTGTTTAAATCTCACCCAGAGTCGGAGTCATGCAAACACCACAACAGACAAGGAAAGAATAACACTTCCTGACACATGCTGTTAACTTCAGCCACCTTCTGCCAGTGAACTTGTACCTTAAATAAAGACACAGTGGGCCACTCTGACACACTTCAGAGACTTAACCTCGGAGCAAACTGAGGCAGAAGGGTTCCTAAAATCTGGATCTCTGTCCACATGTGCCCCCTACAGGTAATCTGATTAACAATTCTTTGAAGTGCTCTGCTGAAGATTTCAATAGCATAGAAACTCTCACATACCTTTCCCCTCCAATTTACTGCCACACACGAGTATTTCAACAAAAAAAACTTTAACCTTCTATCTCCTTTAATACTTTATTAATATTTAGTCCTCACACCTTAATTACCATATCTTCAAAATTACATGTACACCTAAGGAAACTACTCAATACTGAGTACCATTTTCCTTTTATCATTAGCTGTAGCCACTACCTGCTACCTAATGATAACAAGTGGCTAATCAAAGTGCTAACCCTTGATTAGCTGCTTGATAACAAGTGGCTAATCAAGTGTGGCTTAAGTAGAAGTACAGCTACTTCTACTAATAGTGTTAAAAATACTCTGGTGAAAGCACCAATTCAACTTTACTTAAGTAAGAGTGAAAAAGTACACGCTCTGAAATATATTCGGTGTAAAAAAGTAGCTCGCTTGTATTGTTTACAAGGCTTCTATGTGTTATTTTTCCCTCTATTTATGTTCAAATCACTTTAATGTCGTGAGGACATGCAGTGACTTTCCCCTAAAGTAATGAGCCTGTTTTGAAAGTCAAAAGTTATGGATTAAAAAGCAAAACGTTGTCAGAAAAATAACAGACAACTTTATTCAAGTACAGATAGAGTCCTAAAAAATTCTACTTAAGTACTGTAACAAAGTATTTGCACTTTGTTATTTTCCACAATGCTAATAGTTAAGTTGTTTAAATATTAATAGTCAATATTCTCTTAATATTTAAGTAATTAATTAAGTATTACATTTACAGTTTCTCCTTTTTTATTTCACAGCAAAAGCAGAAATTATAGAATTATAATATTTATAGTTTTTATATATTTCTCCAAGATAAAGTATTACATTAAGTATTTTGGCCATACCAGCAAATTTATAATGAAAAACACACAGTTTTAATATTTGAAGCTTCCTTGATTGATATTATTCAGACTATTAGTTTTAAAAGAAAGATTTAAAGACAAGGAAGTGATACAATAAAACATGAAACATCTAACAATCAACATATTATTGATGTCTTTTTGACCAAATATTCCTCATCGTAGTACTGAAAACGATCTGCTAGGAAGTGACTCATCTCTTCCCCTCTTCTGACCTCATCAGTCTTTACTCAGCCAGGAACTCAACCAGCAACAACAGGAAGAAGGTGAAATAGGATGCGGCTAATGTACATACAGTCTACTGTATATGATATGAACCAAGAGTTCCTACAGCCCTATACGAGAAGACGCGCACGGCTGATGGAGACACATTCAACATGAGTGGTGCTGTCACTTACCCAGAGGCAGTACGGAGTGAGACAACATGACCACATGTACAACACAGCTCTCTGCCCGGTGCCCATCTCTGCTCTGCTGCACTGACCAGCCTCAGACCCTCACACTTAAACCAGTGATGTCACCACCCTACTATTACCTCATGTCTCTGAGTCTATGGTGAATACAATTTGAGGAAAGTAGTCATTTCAGATGTCCAGCAACGCCCACATATTTGGCTTTAAACACTATCTGTGATATTTTACATATGCTAAACATCTTAACTAGATTTAAGAATCTGCCTATGGGGTTTTTATCATTACTAAATACTTTTTTTTTTTTAAAAAGTCACGCTCCTGCATATAAGCCTTAGTATTTGTGTTAATGATGCTCTGCTCATATTCTGATGCTGAATGTTGAATTCTTGCTACCTTGAATAAAATATCACTACTGAGTAGAAATATTGAATTTATTAACAAACAGAAAAAATGATCCAGAACTGAGTAATTGTGTAATTTTATCATTATCATTTCTTACTTTTGAGTAAGAAGAAAATGACAGAGCTTTTGATTTGATGCTGTTTTGTCTAAAG